GTCGCGAACTTACTACGTTTCAAATTAAAACCCATTTAATGCGCAACAAGAGGGAACACAACGACGTCAGCTTCTTTAAGTAAACAAAAGACTATATAGCATATGGAGGCCCGACCTTTGTCGTAACCCATTTTGTATCTTATCTCGTTCGACTCGACTGTCTATGATTTATTTCCCCCTTCAGAATTGGCTTTCTAATGAAGCCTAATTCGAGTGCTCAACAATTCAGTGCATCATAAATTTTAAATTAACCCCAATTTCTGGCACTCAATCCTTGGCGCAAAGGGGTTGCCCAGAATGCAAATATTTACGTCTTTCACCAGTGTGGAAAATGAAAAGCAAAGCTTTGCCTCCGCTCTTTCAATTAGCCTTGTGGCAGAACTGGTGGTAGCAGGTGAGCTGAGGCCTAAAAGCCCTCAGAAAGCCCAAAAACAAGCGTAGGCAATTAAAGTTGCTCTAAGGTGGGATCCAAAGAAGTGGGCAACTTCAAAGAGGGGATTTTACGAGCCAGTTAAGAGGTTAAACTCGCTTCGAAGGGTTGGTTTAAAAGGCAAGATGAAACTATGAAAGGGATTCCAGCTAATTATCGTACACAATTAAAAGAGCCCAAAAAGTTAAGGAAGAATAAACTAATTAAAAAGTTAAACTAACAATTCAACAAGTACTTTATGATCTTTAATAATTTATTTTATTCATACACAGCGGTACTTAAAAAAAATAAATACTTTAGGGATATAAGATGAAAATTTAATAACATTAAAAAATTATTTTGTTTTATCTCAAAATAGGGAATCTTAAAATCACAAAATACACAGAACAACTCTTGAATTCTTTCCCTTGTGGGGTGCCAATAATGGATGCTTGAGATCCTTTGAGTACATATTCATACCTCCAGCTGAGATCCTCAAGCAGCCACCCAGGGAGCCTATGGCATATGCAAAAACCCACACTTAAGTCTCCCATTGAGGATGAGATGAGTTCAGTAGATTTTTTGTGGTCATACACAAATCGAGGCTAATCAAACTAGGCCAACGAGATGCCCGGGGAAGTCGGTGGGATGGCGGTACATTCAGCTAAAAGAATTTAATGGCTTTTGGAAAATTGCCTCGTAAATGTCAACAAATGGATGGGGTTGGGTGGGTTTCCTTTTCCTAGGCAGTTTTCGCTCTTTCGAATGGCTCGGCTTGCTTGGGTTCGGATTGCGGCCAAAAAGTCTGTTAGTCGGCAAGGACAATGCACAATGCAACAGACTGTCCGGTAGGTCGTAAAACTTCCTTCGAGACAATGCCACAAACAGCAGGATATCTCACAGATGGGCACTGAGCACGTACTCGTGACAAAAACCCACAACGGCTTTTTGTTTATTTTTGCATTATGACAATCTCTCTTGAGAAGACGCAAGGTGTGCCCCGAAATAGGAAAATGTATGGAAGAAAGATGGCTCGTAAATTGCAAATGAAATGAGCCAAAACGAATTTCATTGCGGTGAAAGAAAGCCGAAGAGTTTGGAATAAAATAGAGTTTTTGAGAGGCCCAGAGATCAAGGAGATGCTCGACAGCACTCTGAACTAATTAACAACAAATGATGACATTAGACCGAAATCTAAAAAATAATCTCAACGAAAACTGTGAAAGGATATAAAAAGTAAGAGACAGTGAGACAAAAAAACAGCTGCTGGCAAAGCCACTCGCAAATCTGAGCCTAGAAAGTGTTGGACCGAAACTCGCCGGACCACCCGTCGATGTCCTGCTGCGACAGGACTCGTGCTTCGGTTTGGTACCAGCGATTGAGATGTCCTGCTGGTGCTGCTCGGCAGCGTTTTTCCACATTTCCCAATCCGATTATGGACTTTGCTTTCGCCTCCCCTCAACGCACAAAGATCAACACTAATTTATGGTTCAAACGATTATAACACCAAATGGAGGTCCCCAAAAATAGAAACTTATGATGAAGGCCGGAAATATTTTATACTCACTGCCAATAAGCGGGAAATCTAATCGAGCTTACCTGCAAAGAGAGTTCAAGGAAAAATGATTTATTAGTACTTTATTATAATTAGTGAGCGAGCTAATAAAAAGATTGTTCAGTTTGAAACTAAGAGTCTAAAAAAAGTTAGACATTTGTAATTTAAAGACTTGATTCCTATAAACTATGTGGAATCCCATATAAATATTTTAGTAAACCTCGAACCAAATCCTCGATCGAAACTCGATCGGATAAAGAAGTTCAGTAATATATAATTAAAAGACTTGCTATCTTAAATCTATGTAGGACCTGGTAAAAACCAAAAAGACCACACGTAATTCCCATTAATTTGTTATCAACTGTTGTCTAAGTTTTTTATTCACATCTAAACACTTTGAACACCTGGCTGTCGACTTCCTCGACGGCAGCACTTCAGCAGATTGCCTCCACCGGCAGAATTCCATCGACCAGGCCCAAAATGATAGCGGTAATCTCATACCAGGCAACATTTTCCAGCACTAAGTTCATCGGCGGCACAATGAGCTCCTCCATAAACTGGGAAACTTCCGTGGGGTTTTCGTTGATCAAGATATCTAGATATTCCTTGATCAGATCGTTGATGAATTTAGTGTACAAGCGACTGTTCATAAAGCCCGTGGTCTGGGACTTGGCCTCCTCCAACTCCCAGTTGACCTTCCAGCTTTTTACGTACACCCCACTGGTGGCCGACTTTGGACGAATGACGAAGCTGCCGTAAGCTCGGAAGTTGATCAGCTCCAGATTAAAGACACCATCGCCCCACAGAGAGACGTCAGCGCCAAACAGACGAGCCAGAAGATTTAGTTTATAGTTTGAGCTCTTCAGGGAAATCTTGGGGAAGTTCATATCGAACTTAATGGTGTTCAAAATGTTGCTCCATTCCAGCTTGGAAAACTCGTAGCCATCTAGACCATCGAGGATCAGTTCAGTAAAGTTTCCATTACAACTGTGGGTTAATATTTGGCATGTTAGGATCAATTCCCAAAATAAATATTAAAATATTGATTTTATTACCCAAAGTTCTCGGTTCGTATAGCGATTTCCTGGTAAGCTATCTGAGCCGGGGCCAAAATTGGAACCCCTCTGGCCGGATAACCACATCGCATCTGCAAACGCAGGAACTCCGTCAGTTCGCGCAGCTCATCATCGAAAAGCTTGGCGGAACCCAAGGAGAAGCAAAGAAGGGTCACAAAAATAACACAGGAAGTTCTCATCACGAATATCAAATGGCAACTACTAATTGTTGAACACCATCAGGTAGTTTTTACCCCCTGCTAATCAGCAATAACGATTAGCCACTTAAGTGGCAAAAATCGATAAGATTGGATTAGGCAGGTGCAAAGGAGATAAACCTTTGCGTTCCCAAATTCACTCAGAATAAAAATGGAACAATATTTTAGTACAAGCCAATAAAAATAAATTTTAAATGAAAGCAATTTGCTTGAAATTAAAACTCACGTTGGCTCTCTCCAGTAAATGGTGTTTAGTTTTATAACACCAATATTTGAATGATTTCCGATTTGGGAACGAAAATAAAAGTAGAATGTGGGTGGCCATACAAAAAAGAACCCCCAAAAGTAGACCAAGGATTAAATATATCGACAAGAATTTATTCACGCCCCTCTCTGAACTTAGGCCCAGGGATCGGCAGCGGGATCGCAATCGACGACAATCGGATCGTCCTCGCTCTCACCATCGCTGCTGGACATGATCAGGTCCACGACGGTCCAGAAGTCCTTGCCCTTGAGGGCTTTGTTCACTGGCGGCACGATGGCATCCTCAATGGTATCGGAAATGGTACCCTGATTGTCATTAATGGCCTTCACCACGATGTTCTCCAGCTGGCTGTTGATGGCGCGGTTGATCTTGCCGTTGCCCATGAATCCAGAGATGTCCGAAGTGACGGACTCCAGCGAGATGGTGGTCTTCAGCGAGGTGATCTTGGCGGAGCCCCACAGCATGGGCAGCTTGTATTTCAGGGTGCCGGCAATACGCAGGTTGACCAGGCCGAACAACAGCTCTCCGGATCCCTCGTACTCCACGGACAGACCCAACTGACGCAGAGCATCGATCACGGTGTCGGTGCTGTACTTCTGGGCGGTGGTATCGATGTTCTGGAACAGGAAATCGAATTTCACCTTGCTGGTAATCACATTCAGCTTGAACTTCTTGATCTGGAAGTCATCCAATCCGGCGACCTTAAGGCGGAACAGGTTGTTCACGGTCTCGAAGATGCCCTTCTTGAAGTCCAAGTCGATCTCGTTGATGCGCAGAGGAGCCAGCACTGGGATGCCATACTGGGGCCATCCGCACTCCATCTGCTTCTGGACCTTGCGGATGAAGCGACGCGCCTGCCAGGACACAATGAACTGGGGGGCAACTAAGTAATGGTGTATGATTTTAAGTTAGTAACCCGTATTCATTGGTAAAACTTTGCTACTCCTAAGTTCTATCTTGTTAACTAACTTTAAAATATGCATTTACATTTAACTATATTATAAATGTTGAACCACAAAAAAAGCTCTATTGTATTAACAGTACACACTACAAAAACTTTAAAGAAAATTTAAAACTTTTAAAAAGGGCATAAACAATGTATCAGTTGAAACTGTTACTAGGTACTCGTTCAAATTTGATAACTTTTTGGAATATAGAAAGTATTTATTTCCCTAGATTTCGGCCTAGTCTCACCTTCAACGCCCGCTTCGGGCTCCACGAACAGATCGATGTCACCATTCTGATCCGCCAACTCCAGAAGACGCTGCTCAACCTTGTTGGGCAGAGTGCCGGCGGCACAGACGGCCACCAGGCAGGCCAAGACTACCAGAAAACGCATGGTTGATTGTGGCTTTTAGTAACTAAACTTGCTACTGAATTGGCTAACCCCCGGCCAGAGTCTTTTATACCAGAATCCACCCCAGCCGATAACGCCGAAAAGGTGATACTGACCGAAGATAGCAGGTAAAATGGGGGACTAATTAAAACGTAGATCGTGGTCTGGCTTGAATTGCTTTTTATTTATGGTGTCTGCCCTAGTCTATTTTCCTGGACTCCACGGCCAGCCAGGGGGCGGGGGTGGGGTTGCACGTGCCAGTGGTGGCGCTCAGCAGACTGAACAGATACCAGATCTTGTGACCCGTAAGATGGGCATTAACCATCGGCACAAAGATCTCCTCGATCTTGGCGCTGATCTGCTTCTGGTTGCCATTGATGAAGGCCGGCACCTCCTTGTCGATCATTTCGTTGATATACTCGTTGATCCTTCCGCTTCCCATGACACCGCCAATGTTTGAGGACACACCGCCCAGACTGACCACACAGCTAAACTTGTAGATCTTAATGGAGCCGAAGATGAAGGGCATCTTGTACTTGAACTCGCCCTGAATCGACAGATCCATCAGGCTGAAGGACAACGGACCCGAGCTCTCGTAGCGCACAGACAATCCCAGTTGCTTCAGCATGTCCACCAAAGTATCGGTATCCAAGTAGTGAGCACTGGCCTTTAGCAGGGGAAGTTTGAAGTGGAACTTGACCTTCTTGCTGAAGGTGTAGCTGATCTTCAGCTGTTTGATCTCCATGTCCTCGAGGCCATCGAAGCGGAAGCGCAGGAACTGCAAAAGGGAACTAAGGATACAAATTAGATAATAGATATGGTTTTGTAAACTATCAGTTACTCACTCGACAACAGACTCGGCCAAGTGGATGCGCAGATCAGCATTGGTATAGGGTGCCAGTGGGGGAATTCCGTATTGGGGCCAGCCGCAGGGCAATTGGCTAATCAAGCCCTTGATGGCCTTCTTGGCCGATCCATTCAAGATCAGGCCCTGAGTATCGGGCTTGGCAGCTATTTTCCGGGGGGATTACAGCTTTATTAGGGGACTATAAGGTTTAGATATGGTTTAGGAAAACTTACGATTGCGTTCCACCAGCTGGTTCCATTGCTCCTCGCTGAGCAGTTGCACATCGTAGGCTGCAACGGAGGCCAAAAGGGCCACAAAAACACAAACGATAGCTTTCATTGTATGGCTACCTTATTGATTGTTCCAGCTAGCCACTGGCTTTTATAGCAAAACTTGACGGATTTGGGTGGGCGAAAAGGCGGGAATCACTTGACCGGGTTAACATACACTTCCTAATCGTCTTATACAGATTAGTTAAACTGAACGTAACACTTAACACGAAGGAATTCAATCACTCGGCAATTGGTTTGTCAGAACACAAAGCAAAATGCACACTTGTATCGCTTAAGTGCCTTGTTTTGGCCTAATCTCTATGGCAAATTGGCCAATCGAGTGTCAAAATCATTTAACAAATATATACTGCCTATCTTTGCCGGGATTATAGGCAAATAACCTGACTACCGTGGGGTAAAACTGCGTCAATGCAGGTGTCCGCGGATTAGCGTTGTTGACTGATTCGTATCACTCAATTGGGGGTACATTCAATTGTCAACCAAGCTTCACCGACTGCATTGGTACTCTTCAAAACCTTTTAGTCATCTCATAAAGTGATTTATGGTATTATTGTTTTGATTACGATTTTACGAGGGATTTTATAGTTCGAGCTGGATCACGTGCGTAATCATTTTTTGATCGTTGTATTGGGTCTAGGGCTGGCAGGAACTTTAGGGCCCATAATTCATTTAGAGAGTATTTGGCTAGCCATCTGGTCTTGACCGTCTGGTAATGTTTATTAATAGTTCCATCCGTAAGTCCTTTAAGTAAGGCCATAAACCACTCAATGTACTCGAAAACAGTAAGATTGTAAATCAAAAAGCAATCTTCGCAGACTTTAGATTCACATAAGTGCACGGATGATTTCAATCCAAAATAAACTTATAAAGACGATTATCATTATGGGTGTTTTGTTGATTCTGGGTTAAGGCGCATTTTTCCTCAGTTCTAACACCTGCATGACCTCAGTATTGGTACCTTAAAAATATTCTTCTTTGTTTCTAACACCTGCGTGTCCTTAAAAGAATTATGAACGGAAAGTTTTTAAAGAACCATAGATAGCTTTTAAGTACTAAATTATCTGTAAATATTGTATTGTATTTTTGAATCGCTGAGAGATGTTGTCTGGAAAAAGACTAGCGACTTGTTATGCACCAATCTTAAAAAAGGGTTTACCAAACAAAAACCTTTTCAACCGATAACTATTATCATTCGAGTCACGCCTAAAACAGACTTTGATCACGCGACCGTTCAGGGCATGTTTTTGTTTGGGCAAAAACTATCTAACTTGTTATCCCATTGGCAGATCTCATAATTTCCTTGGGATAAGTACCCCAATGTATATATAACCAATCATTAAAATTAAAAAATATGCCAACCGGCGAATTGGTGGCCCAGATAAGACAGCAATAGGGCATCGATCGAATGAGCGGTAGCTAATCAAATCGAACTCGGGTACCAAGCCCCCTTATCACACCACCCCACCTGGAAGGTGGATCGTCTATAAAAAGCGACTCGTGCGACCGGACGATTGAGTAGTATAAATACCGTACGTACTACGATCAGTTGGTAGGACTTCTAGTCAAAGCAATAATGAAAATCTTTGTGGCTCTTTTGGCTTTTGTGGCCGTTGCCAGTGCGGCTTCCGTGGGTCAGCCCATCGGTGAGTATTCCAGATGATGTTTTTTTCTTAGTTGCTTATCTTATCCAAATACTTAGCTACCCAATCGATCTCCAGCTCGATTGTGGATTTGATCGAGGGAATCAAGGAGCAGATGCCCTGTGGCTTCACCGGACTCGGGATTCCGCCTATGGCTCCCCTGAGAATTGACCACCAGGAAGTCAACATTGATACCAGCGCGCTGAAGGCTGAGGGAATAATTGACCACTTCCGCCTCAATGGTCTGAATGAGTTCGACATCGATGAGATGAAGGTCAACGCCCTGACCAGCAAGGTCACCTACAAGTTCACCTTCCGCGACGTGAACGTGGACACCCAGTACGACCTGAGTGTGCTGCTGAAGAAGTACGGATTCACCATCAAGTTGATTGGTGCCGGTCACGCCAAGTTCGCCATCAAGGATATGGTCATCTGGGGCACCCTTAAGTACTCTCTGGGCATGCTCAGCGGCAACCTGAAGCTTAAGTCCCTGGAGGTGCGCACCCACTTGGGTGAGGTTGACTCCGAGATCGAGGGCATCCTGGGCGATGGCAGCATCAACGAGAAGATGAACGAGTACCTTGCCGAGGCCGTGGAGCTGGCCATCAATGAGAACGAGGATCTGATTGCCGACACCATCGAGAGCATTGCCCTGCCCGCGGTTAACAGCGTCTTGGACGACGTCAGCCTTGCCGATGTCATCTCCGGTTCCGGTTCCGGTGGTGAGGGCGGTGAGAAGGAGGTCTGCATTCCTCCCGAGCTCGAGTGGTAAACAAATCATCGGTCATTAAACAACCGTTTTGAATCAAGTATTCGTCATCTGGCCTTTTGTTTGCGGGGGGGTTTTCCAGACTTTTTGTCTGGATTCAGCCACATACTTAACTTTTAATACTTATAGTTTTTTAAAACCTAAACATTTACAACACCTATCACCTTTATTTCAAAGGCGGTCTAATCTCAAGTTGTGTCTTATCTGCAATAAAACACTTTGCCAAATTATTTGCCGATTAATCAGGCTACTTCAGTAACGACACGGAAAAAATATTTTAGTCCAAACAAATAACCCTATTTGAATAATGAGTAGTTATATAGGTAACTTAGAATTGCCTTTTGACCGGACAATAAATAAGTAAATAAAGAAATAAAATAATAAGTAGTTATTAAACCGATGGATTTATGAGAGCCAAATTTTTTGTGTGGCTGATAAAATAAATTACATTATACAGCTATTTTATAGAATTTTCCGAACGATAAAGTCCATATTTTGCAGATAAAGGTAATAGGAGTACCCCTAGAATTTTTGATTAAATGATTGATAAATATTTTGAATTAAATATACAGATTTTTAAAGAAAAAGGTTATTATTTGTGTATAATTCTATACAGGGACCATTTATTTTGTATTGTGTATGGCAGTTATATTTCCACCAACACGTGTTAATCAACCATAAGCACTTGAATTTTCTTTGTGTACAGATAGTTTATCTCAATGGACGTATTCCTATATAAGAGGAAAGGCTTTGCTAGGCTTCGACTAGTGAATTTCGTTTGCTGGAGAGGCTAACTAGAGTGTTGTGTTTGAATAAACATGAAGTCTGTGTTCCTGATTGCACTTATCCTGGCTCTGGGCAGCTGTCAGGGTGCCGAAGTAGCCGAACCGATGTCAGGTGAGATTTAAACTCGAGGACTAAACTTGAAGGACTTAATAAACCTGTACTCTTTTACAGCCCAGGATCGCTCATTCTCCAGCGTGATTGTGGACGGAGTGGAGGCGTTTAGGGGAGTCCTACAAAAGGGAAGCCCAGAACATGGAATTCCCGTGATGGCCCCCATGAAGGCTGCCCAAAGGTCCTTCGAATTCAACTCTGGAGAGTTCAGTGGAACTTTTGGAGTCGAAAACTTTGTGCTGGAGGGCCTCGATCAGTACGAGGTTAAATCAATGAAAATGGAGGTGCTCAGGAGTCGCGTAACCTTCGAGTTCCACTTTCCCAGCGTAAATGTCACCACCGATTACGACTTGGACTTGGGCAGTGGCTTCCGCGTTAAGCGCACTGGTGGCGCCTTCTTTGCCCTCGAGGATCTGAACATTCAGGGCAGGATCAGCTACTCGCTGGGTGTCTTCACTTCCCAGCTGCGCGTAAAGGATATCCTGGTTTACCCTACGGTGGGCAATGTCAACTCGCAGATCGAGAACCTGTCCAAGTACCGCATCTTCAACCGCAAACTGAACGAGGTTATCGAGGAGTTCGTCACCCTGACAATCAACGACAACACCGACTTCGTGGCCTCCTGGGTCAGTGAGCAGGCCACCCCCATTTGCAACGAACTGATCGGAGATCGTACTTTGAGTGATATCATTGCTATTATCACGGGAGGAAACTAATTATAATACCCAATAAAATTAACCTATTTTCCAATTTAAATGGGGCATTCAATTGGCGGTGGTTAAAAACGTGGGAGCCATAAACCATGTGCGGTTTCGGTTTATTATTATAGTCAGTAGCAGGTGAAAAACACGCAAAAAACACACCACCAATTTGGTTAATCTAATCATCCAGATTAAGCTTATAATAGAATTTCCATTTGCCAAAGTTGATTAGGCCAACTTGCTGATCACGTTTTCAATTATAGATTTTTTGGGTACATTCGCATTGAAGTCACATGAATAATAAACCATTTTCTATTATTTAACGGCGTGTTTTCCCTTTAATGGGGTGTGCAAACTAACATATCCAAAGTAGCTTACTAACATTTAAAAAATGTGGCATACTTTTGGGCAACTAAAAATTGAAGCTGTTTTGAGTTGAAGAGAATTTTGTTGCTTAATTTTGGGCTGAGCTTTGTAAGAAATTAAATGTTAGCATTTCACTGCATACTTTTTGGTGCTAAACTTATGTAAAATGTAACTTACAATAACAAAAGTGATGTAGTATTTTGGACAGGGATCAATGACCGATTAGATTTAATAAATATTATTAATAATAAATTAATTATTTAACAAATTTAAATATTAGTTAATAACAAATTATTTTTAAAACACGTGTTATATGTACAAATTTTGTTTATATATATTACTTATTAATTTTAACCTCTTTCTATAATATATTATAAATAATATTTATAAAATCAAATAAGTAAAACAAAGCCTCCAACATAATATTCCTCTACTTTATTGCAATGAGACCTTTAAGAAGACTTAAAAAAATAACAATAAACTGAATTCAATGAATATATGTTAGCATATGGCACCAGGTACACTGATTACTGGCCAATATTTGTTTTGTGTATGCCAACTTATGTTATTTATAACCATACCCTTGGCAAGGTTGCACCAATGTTTGTTAGGTAGCTGATAACAGAATCATGCGAGTGCTATACCACCCAGGCAGCTAGACAGACCTTGACAATAAAAAGACAGATCAATTGACAATTTGTTCTCCCTGTTTCAAAAAACGTGCCTTAAAAACTTTTTCTAAGTCGCAATTTAAACGATTTGGATGTCTCACATTTGTTGGGAAAAATGTGTTATCATCTGAGCTACCAGAGAGCGCTACAAAATTCCCCAAGCCAGAGAAACCCTCGGGAGCTTATCACCTATTTGAGAGAATTGAACATCCCACTGCTAATCAAAGCAAGTCTATTATTTTCAATCAGTCTAAAAATATCATTCATTGAGTTCGGAGGCTGGAAATATATACATTCTCAAAAAATGCTGCTAAAATATATTCCTTTACTTTTGTTGGTCCAGGTAAGAAAAGCTCAACACTCCCACTTAGGATTGCATAATTAAACGTAACACTTTATTCAAAAGCTTCTTGTAGCGACTGCTAAACCAACTAATCCACATCTATTCAATTCCGATGATCCATTGCAAAGGGATTTAGAGAGGCAGGCCAAGGAGCAGACAGTTCACCTCCTGGATTCCCTGTTCCGTTCTCAAATCGCCTATTTCGCCGAGGTTAAGACCGCTCTGAATCCCCAAACAAAGCGATTCCAGGACATTAGTCTTTATATTACACGCCTAAATCAAGCCATTGCTGAGAAGGATCTGGACAGAAAGGATAAAATATGGAAGGACGTTTTTGAAGAGGTAATGTTCTTGGCTATTTTATTTTAATTAAATATAAATCTAGCACCTGCAAATCACTTTTACAGTTCAAGGAATCCCCCCTACTACTGAACAGGGAGTCTGAGACAGGTCTCACCGACTCGCAATACAAGACCCTGCTTACCGGACAAAAACTCCAGGACATATCCACAAAGTTCGTAACCGATGTGGCCGATTACTTCTGGGAAATGGCCAAGATCAGTGGCAAAGTCGTTGGTAATGGCATATCGAGCGGTAATCAATCTTAATCACAATAAACCAATAGTGAATTAATCAAACGGTATATCTTATTTCGCATAATAATTATGCCAGCAGCGTAGTCAACAATTTATTGACAAACTCAAAAAGCGCGGTGAATCGACACACTTAAATTTCCAAGTTTAAATTTTGGTTGGCACACTTTTTTTGGAAAGAAATACTGTGCTGGATATAGCGGTAATATCAAGCTTTAACGGCTTTTTGCTGAGCATTATCACAGATTACTTTGGCTACATTTCAGGTGTGAATCAAAGCTGTAGAGCTCTTAAGATTACAATGGATTTTTAATTATTTATTTATCTTATATTTTAAAGTGCCATATTGTTTTCCCATCCACTGTATTACAATGGAGACGCCCGCAGTCAAATGAAATGATAAATTCCAATACACCCATCACGAATTCGTGAATCACTCAACAGCGACAACCAAATTGGGAGATATTATGACTTAATTGCAAAAGCGCAAAAACTCTTCCGATTTGGCATTTCTTTTGTCTCAACTTTTTGCTGTCAATTGAGAACGAAAATAATTTAGCGGAATAACAGCAACAACGACGTGTTGTGCAATTGCAATTGAAATAGCAAATGCAAGCAAAGTGCAAGATATTTTTAATGCAATTTGCTTTAAAAATAAACGGGTACTTGATGGGTTAAGGGGAGGGGGCGAGCGGGGGATGGAAATGTGGAGGGGGCAGACGACGGACACGCATGCCTTCCACTCTGCCGGTTGCACATGTGTCGCTGATATTTGAAAATCCGCTCTGGAGCACTGAAAAAAATTTCATAGGTTCGATATATGTCGAAGAAATATGTCTTGATTTTTTATAGCAGAGTTACTTTGTAGTTAATAAGATTCTTTAAACAAATTCAGTTCATGAGGGGTAATTTTCTCGTTTTAAGCTGTGAAACGTACTTTAAGTTCGACATAAGGAAGAGCAAACAACACATTCCCATTTTAGTAACAGTGGTATCATAACTTAACAGCAAAGTATTATCATGATATAAGAAACCTTGCCAAAATCTTATTTCTATTGAAGGTACTATATAAGTCGGAGCGAACCTATACCTCCCATAGGAATGATAAAAAAAATATTTTTTTTAAATGTATAAAAATTATAGTTTCGGTGTTTTTTGCCAAAGTTAGCTTCCTTTTTTGTTTATTGTTTATTTTTAATTTTCCTTATCAAAAATATGTCCTGATTTGTTATAACGGAGTTATATTGGATTTAATAAAATTAATTTAGATTATAAGGGGTCGTTTTCTCATGTTAAGCTATAATTACGTATTAGATTCGAAACATACTTTGAGTTCAGCATGGGGACCAGCAAACAACATAATACCATTGTAGCAACAGTGGTTTCATAACTTAATATAAAGAATTATAATGATATAAATCAGTTAAAATCAATATTTTTAGATTTAGTAGTCAGGTTCTAACTCACATTTTTCTCCAGTGTACTGGCAGCATGTTTGTGTGGGTTAGTACATGTACTTGTGGCCCCAATGGCATCTCCATGTCACGCTCTCGAGCGTATCGACGCAAACAATTTCCACTTCCGAATGACACAGACAAAAAGCCATATCAAACAGAAATTCAAAAAAAACGAAAAAAAACATAATAAAAAGGAAAAGGTAATGTGCCAATGACAGTGGCAACAGTTCCCTCAAAAGTCCGACTGTCAATATAATTTAACAATTAAAAGAACATAAACAAACGTTGCCCAAAGCGAAAAGGCAATAAAGACAGCGAGCTAAACCGCGGACAGATAAGAGGTCACAAGTTGAGATGAGATTGTTCAATTTAAAATAGGAGGGCAGGTACCAAAGTTAGAAATAACCTGTCTGTGCTTTCAGCTCTCGGTAATAATTATTCAAAATAAGATAAGAAAATGTAAAGCTGTATTGTTAAGTAAGCAATGAATGCTTTTAAAAATATTAATGAATGAGTTTATTGACAATGGCAACACAATTAAATGCCATAGAAAGATAAGGAACCCTAATGGCAACAAATAAATAAAAACTATAAATCGTTATCAAACAATACTCTTTAGGTAAAAGTAGTATGCAATACCAAGTAATTAAATGGAAAAATAGGTAACAATCAGAAAGAACAGATCATAAGATAATGAAAACTGGGTCGGGAACGGCACATAAATGCTGTCAACTAAAAATTTCCCATTAGCTTTCACAAAATATTTGTCCACTTATTAAATAATTTATATTTAAGTGGCAAAATAATGAATAGAAAGATGAGTCATCTTGAGAACGAATAAATGGACCCACTTTTCGAAAGGGTAGACCGACAAAAACTTCGTTTGGGGCTAATTGCAATCGCTTTAATGGGGAGTCGCAAGCCATTTGAGATAAGAGAGGAAATTTGTTTTTCACTGCCGCCAGCGGCATTTCAGTTGACTGTTGTTATTGTGCCTGTTTTTTGTTGTATATAGGGCCGGCTATTACTTGGCTATTTACAAACAAACAGACAACACGCCTTTGTGTTTGTATAAACACCGCGGAAAGCGAACGAGCATTCCAGGTAGGTTATTTATGTCCAGCGGTTATTGAACACCCCCCAATACAATTATCAATCTGTAGTAATATTGCCATTGATATGCTGATATCGTGTAATCAATTTACTATTTATGTTCTGACGAAGACGGATGAATAGTGGAAGCGAATCTTAATGCACAGCATGTCTATTGTTTATAGAACCCAATTCATAGCTTCATATGCTAATTTTAGATGGCACATGTAGCCACATACAATAGCCATTAGATTACACAAATATTTAGGCATCTATTGTTGCTGAAACTGGTCTAAAAATACCGAGACCTTAACCCTCTTGTTTACAAACATCAGAAACAAGCATTTGCGCAATTCCTTTAATATCTATTTTATTAAAAAACTGCCTAAATGTAAAGCAGTAATAAAAATCACATTTAAATTCTGGAATCCCTTTAAGATAACTTACTAAAAGCTGTAAATTATACGTAAACTTTGATTTGCAAACAAGTTCATTGACATTCCAAGCATTTAAATGTGGTTTAAAACTCGAACTGATACAAATGAGTCACAAGCAACAAATATATTAATGGAACGCTTAGTTCAAGTTCTTGGCCAAAAACGATAACAAGTTTTGAGAATTTGTCGATTCTTTCAGGTTTATTACTCTTAAAACCTTTTATCTGTTAATGGTAAGCTGCTGTAAGATTCTTTATACTATAATCCCCATATCAGCGACGTAAAATGGGAAGGGTTAATGAACAGAGAGCAGCCAAATTCTTTTATTTATTTTTGTTAATCTCCAAGTTAGATACTTTTGACCTTCTTGATTCAGTAGAGACCGTTACCGAAACCTATAAATAAGCATTTGGAACGGGAAAAACGGCCATAGAAGTCCAACGAAAATATCATTCATCACGCTGACAGCGAATTGGAATCGGTATTCGGCATTCTGTTTGGTTAGATATACATTTTCAGCCGATCGAAAATGCTCGTGTTGCGGGTCAATGCCAATAAGAAAGTCGCGTGCAAAACGGTTTACGAGATCGTATTCTCGGGTTTCATATCTGGTTTGCACGATACAGAATGTGCTCCATGGTATGGTGTATTCATGAGCATGAGGCCTCTGCCTCTGACAATTTTGTTTACATTTTTGGTGAGCCTTTTGTTGTTGCTGCCTCTGCCAGAGATTTTCTAATAAACCATTTCAGAACCGGTTTTCGGGTTTGATTTCGTGAACGGTTTTCAGTTTTCAGTTTTGGTGGCTGCCACACAGAGGAAGAGGGCATCAAATTTCAGGCCCCGCATACACACACACACCGAGTAAACGCTGAAAATTGGGCAGAAAAGCTTGTTTTAAACAAAAAGCGAAGCTCTTTCTTTCGAGGAACAGAACAACAACGGCCCGAGCGACAACACTTTCAATGGCCCCGGTCCGCTTGAATGGGCATTTTGGCAACAATAATCCTCGCACGGGGGTTGATGAGGAGGTTGCCTCATAGATTTTCGGTCAGAGATTAGCATAAAGCACTCCAAACAAAGGCAACCACAAGTCCAGACGCTGCCGATAAGGAACAACAATGAAGGTGTGGATACAATTGCAGCGATAAACATGTTTAATCAAAGGATTGCCATCCGTTCTTCCCGACATGACATTCAAAGAGTTCAGTCCGTCCCCCCAAAGTCATGGTTTCGTACCATTTCCTGACTTCGAAACCTATATCTCTCTTTGTATGCATTATGTATAACATATTTGTTCACTAATGTTTTCAAAGACAAGCCTCTGAAACTCTCATAAAAACCATCTACACTTAAACTAAATTCAAAACTAAAGACTTTACAAGACGAGGATTTGTAATAAATAATAAACATGCAAAACATAATAATAACATGCTTATATTTGAATTGATTGCCACATTAAGTATTTATAAGATGAGTGTGTTATGACTCGCTTTTATAAAAGGCCAATGATAAAAACCTTAAGAAAAAAATACAGTTCTATTACTTGTTTATTTTCAGTCCCTTCAAAACTATAGCTTACTAATATTATATCGTCCATTTGCTTTAAACTTTAAGAAGTTTACGATTTATTAACACTTAATGTTACATTTGAGAGCAGAAAGAAATTAAAAGCTTTATGGCAAAACTTATTAGTAACAGGAGGAAAAGCACGAGTTTTAATTAAACAATAACTGTTTAAGTTTTGTTTATAAATCTTCGTAATTTAAAAGTGTATAATTAAACTGTTAATTGCCGTTAAATAGAAAATATATCCGCCCAGAGTATATGCAAAACCGAAGTATAAACAGGTGTTCAAACAAAACACTCTGATTGGTGAGAAATGTGTTTCAATACAAGTCAATCATATTCATATAGACGAAATTCTATATCTAAAACCGATTAAAATAAGTAGTATTATAGAGAACTTCAAAGGTATAGGATTGAACCTTTCCTCTTGATAAACACTAAAAGTAGTTCGACTTATGGAGGCACTCACCTTCAATGCAGACCACATGATCCCGGATGGACTGGGCTATCCGGGCATCGGCTAACGGCAGCAGATCGATCATATCGTATATGGCATAGATCGATGGGTGGACGCTCTCGAATCGCTGGATCTCCTGGCGTATGGCCAGCGAGTTGCTGATGAGCGGCTGGGGAGGATGGGCCATCAGGATGGATGATGACGACGATGATGCTCCGGAGGCGGAGGCTGCCCCAGGGGTGGGCGTGGCATGGTTGTGACGCTGCGTGGGCGGCAACTGGTTCTGGAGAGGATTGAGCAGCTGATTCTGGACCTGCTGCGGATGCGGATGCGATAGCGCGTGCGGATGGTAGTTACTCATGGCGGGGGCGGCAAAACCGAGAGTTAGCTAAATTTTTAATTAACTTAATTTACTGACACACACACTCGACACGCACACACACACACACGCCGCACACACTACGAAAAAACGATGGCACAATTTTCCCAAACGAACAACATTTTCCAATAACAACAATCGGGGCAATAATGCGCTAACTCGGCCGTTTTTGGGGGCAGTTCTCAGTTCACTAGATCGATTTTGCACCTGCACAAACAATCAAAACACTTTTGTTTACGATATTAAAGTGCACTATATAATGGCATTTTAACTTTATTCAATTTGCTATCCAATTAGGTGTTTTTTCTCGTTTTTTCCGATTGTTTTGCTTTGATTTAACAGCGAAATGCGAACATTTACTACGAAACCAACAGAAAAGTGCGAGAATTTAAGTCTAGCGCAGCCGAGTATGTAGAAGTATGTAGCTACAAGGCACAACAAACCGAGCGAGAGAGCACGTACAGTGGCCTCTCGAAAGAGCAAAACTTCTGTTACTTCAAGTACTTGATAGGTTTTGAAATAAATCGATGGTTTATTGTCAACGAACCGCCTGATTAATATTATCATTTTGGGTTGACATTACTATAAACAATATGGATTTATTACATATTTTAATTGTTTCACCGTTTCGGAGTGAGCACTGTACATTTAACTTACTAGAAAATGCCAAAAACGCCTAGTACAGAAATCCCCCAAATTCGTATATACCAAATATTATTAGTTGCGATAGGGTGAAACATTTAAACCAATTAATTTAAGTTTTTTGAACTGTACACAATATATTAATAGATTTATTTTATTTATAAAATTAGGGTTTCCTTTTAATTTTTAAATTCAATTTAATAACGCTTGGAACTTTGTCATTCAGTAAAAACTAAAGTATTTAACAGGGATATTCACAAGCACAAGCAATGCTATTTTTGAAAAGCCGTAACAACTTATAATTTATTTTTAATACATAAAGTTTAAAAAATATAGCTTTTAATGAACGCGTTTAACAACACTGCCATTGTGCAAACCGAAAACCAAAGTGAATTCCTTGGCAACTCTGAAGCTATCGATTTTAAACCAGCTGATTATCGATAATACCTACAACGCATGTCGTAATCCTATTTTGTTAAAAATTCCCTTAAAATCAATTAAAACTTTATTAAAATGGCTCAAAGTAGGCTGGAAAAGATCGGCACCATCTTCACCAGGTACTTTCACATCGATACAATATCATCCCTACCCTAAATGCCTGATTTCTTGCAGAGTTCAGGGTCTGCTTCGTGGTGGGGCCATGAAAACGGAGGATAAACCCATTTGGTACGATGTTTACGCCGCTTTTCCGCCTAAATTGGAGCCCCGTTTCGACAGACCCGCTCCCGAGATTCCAGTGCGCAACATATTCTATGCCGAGGATGTAGTGCGAGCGTATGTAGCCAACCAAGGCCGGCTTTATAAATTTCTCATGTTTACACATCTTGACAGGAAGCTCCACAAGCAGAATAAACCCCAGGAAACGATATCCCTATTTGATCACAGGCGCAGCACGCAGTCGCAGCAGTTTGCCCAGATCTACCAGGACTTGAAGGCACAAGGAGCCCTGGATGAGCAAAGAATCTACGAGACCGCTCTGGACCTCCTGGCCGAGCAGCGCCAACAATCCCGACTGGAGGCCTCCACGGAGGATTCCCTGCCCGAACAGGACGCCGAATCCAAGACCCAATTACTAAGCGACTTCAAGGAGGCTGTGGAAAGCCAGCAGACGAAGACGCCATCTTCTCCAGCTCCGCCCAAAGCGAAAAAGGACGCGGGCGTGGGCATTAACATAGACAGCTTGTTCAAGGATTAGGCGAAACATCTTTTTATAAACTTAAAATAAACTTGTTGTATATCAAACGGCCAGTGCATCGTTCTGGGATTCGTGGCTGAGCTGCGTTTGCAGGTTGGACAGTTTGTTCTTCAGGACCTGCACACCCATAACCACGATATTCTCGGGCTTCAGGGCCCCGGACGATTCGACGTTGAAAAAGAACTTGTTCGGCTTGGCCTCCCAGTTGTAGGGCGCCTCGTACTGATCGTCCTCCAGCTCGGTGTGTTCGCTCTTGGGCCACTCATCTGGTTTGGGATACAAGGTATGTCGCATGGAGTTGTCGGGGTCGTACTCGAAGCACACGCCCGCCGTGGGATTCCACTTGGCGTGCTCCTTGCCAAATCCCTTCTTGGCGTAGGCACGCAGCTTCAGCTCCTGGCCCTTGCGCAGCTTGATGATCAGGATCTCGTCGTTGCTTTCGCCGTACTCGTTGTCCTCCTCCCCCTGGTTGCGCGACGTTACCGGCAGGACCTTGGCGTTGCTCGACTTAAGATCAGCGGTGGTCACGTGGCGCGTCTGCTCCTCGCTGCACTTGACGTCCAGAGTGAACTCTACGCTGCACTCGGGGCAGAAGTCCAGGCAGATGCAGTCACGTGTGTACTGTAGCCGCTCCACCACGTCGTCGGAAATCAGAGGAATTAGGCCAATACGGTGGGCCAGGAACTCGTCGGAGAGCACCGTGGAGTTGGCTTCCAGTTGCACCCAGTCGATGGCCAGCGTCGGCGTCTCAGCGATGAACACGCGCCGCAGGCTGTTGGCCACGCTCAGCTCCGTGTCCTCCAGGACGAACTTCACGTTGTCGTCGGTAAGCTCGGTTATTTGCACGGACGGCTGGTTGGCGTACGGCATTGTGGCTTTGTTTTGGTAAAATAATAGAAAAACCACGAACAGCAAAAATGCTCGCCGAGAAACAGTGATGGAAGTGCACCGATAGCAACCGGCGATAAGTCTGCCGATTTCGATTCCTGTTCTGAGCTAATTTTTCAAATCAGTTTTTCTAGCCATATTTTTATTTATTATTAAAAGTAGCTAGTATTTAAAAAAATACATATACTGGGTGTTCCCTTAACTGTTAAAGATAAAAATATTACAAACAAGAATTTAAACCAATATTTTTATTCATTAAGAGACAGTTTCAATATAGTTATGTTAAAAGTTCATAATTGTTAGTTCCATTTCTATTTACTTTCCAATAAGATCTAGCTACTTTTGAATTCTTAGTTCCATCACTAATGTGAGCCTGTGAGAATGTTGCGCCTGTTGAGTAAACGTTTTTATTGCAAAATTGCAACTAAAGCGAATGAAAAGGCCAATAAATTGGACTTTAAGCAGCTAACGCATCCCACCAAGGTTCCCCAGACGCCGGTGGATACGGAGTTTCCCGACACCAGCTCCTCCGAAATCGAGATCGACACGAAAACCATACAATTGCTGGAGCGGCTGTCCTTGGTGGATCTGGATAGCGAACGGGCACTGGCCACGCTGAAGAGCAGCATCCAGTTCGCGGACAAGATAGCCCACATCGACACTGAGCACGTGCGTCCATTGTACACCGTGCTGGAGAAGCAGCAGCTCCAGTTACGCAACGACCAGGTGACCGAAGGCGACTGCCGGGCGGAAGTGCTCCGGAACGCAAAGGTTACGGACGAGGACTACTACGTCTCCCCGCCGGGCAACATTCCTCTGGAGCAATGAGCCGGTTACAGCGATGCTTCAAGTCCCTGGCCTCCGCTGGCTTCTTTCGCAGCCAGGACGACAACAAATTGGAACTACTCTCTCATGGAAGGGAATATGCTAACCTACTACAACAGCACTGGCTGCGACTGCGTCCCCTGGCTGCTCACTTGGGGGACACCAGCGAATCCAGTTCCACATCCAACCAGCAGCGTTTTTCCTTCCCCCATAGCCAGCAATTCCGTACAAATTTTCAAAGACTCCTGGATGATCATCCCCGGAAGGCTAAATGCCCCACTCTTCTCAAGCACCAGAGCACTTGCTCCTCTGCCCATCGCAATCCCCTCTTCGAGATGAATTCGCCTTCGCTACTCCTAACCACAGACTTCCTGGTGGAACCTCATCGTGCCCTGGAACACTTTTACAACATGCAGCGCGAGAGCAAGATCTGGTGGATGCGGCTCTCGTCGAACCCCAGTCGCTACCGCATTGTTCCCTGCGATTTGGGCGACGATCTTAATTCCAAAAACTATCAAGCCATCGACATTCGGTCGAGCTACAGCGAAGCGGGAGAAGTGACCGTGGAACAACTGAGTCTGGTGAGGATTGAAGACGACATGGACTTTCGTTTGCCCGATGCGCGAACAGGGGAATCTGTGCAACCGACTGTCATACGATCTGTGATTGGGCTGGAAACTGCCACCTGTGGTAAAAGGTCTTAATAAAAAAATATATATACATTACTATATCATCTACATTTTAGCGCTTCTCTTGGATGGCTGTGATCATGGGCGAAATGAGCAATCCCTGTTGCTGCATCGTATCCTGGCACCTTATCAATGTGGCATTGCCTGTGTAGAAAGCGATTCCGAGCTGTCGAAGGACTTGGCCGATCTTTGCCTACACTTGAAGCATGTTATTAACCACGCGGGTTTGCGCCTTTGTCAAGGCAGTGGGTTTGCTTCGACCAAGGATGCTTCTCATCTAGGCGAACACCTGCTGGAATCGGATATGCTGGGCGTACCCTATACACTAGTTTTAAACGAAAAAACGCTAAGGAACGGGCTGATGCAGTTGCGCAGCCGGGACACAAGACTAGCGGAGACCATACACATAAGCGATGTACCGGACTATTTATTAAATATATTTAAAAACTGAATACAAACGACCTACATAAAGTCGCAGAGATACTGGCGAACATTAAAACCCACAACCTTACCAATCTGCAGGACAAACTCCAGGCCAATGGTACACTGCAGGCGAGCAGAGCCGTCCATGATATTCTGTTCGCCAGAGACGAAGCTGAGCAGCTTGAGGTGCACTAGCGTTGAGATCTGGGAAAGAAGGTTGCAGGTCAGGCCCACTTTTTCCTCCAGAATGGCATAGAAAATGGCCAGCAGTCGGTCGATGGTGAAGGATTTCGGTCCCAGCGTGGTGGACATTTTGTCAGAGGTCTGCAAAGAGTTGACAAAGTTAAAAGCATGGTGAGGAATAAGATCCTTGCTAGCTTGAATAACCCACCTTGGCTCTGGCGTTCACCGTCTGCATCCGCTTGCGCTGTTTTCCGTGGTGCTTGACGAATAATCGCTTGTCCTGATTGGCGGCATTGTGGCTGGCCAGAAAGGCGGCGATCAGCAGGTATTTAGCATAGTAAGGAAGCTCCAGCGACTGCGCCATTTTGCGAACGCTCTGATCCTCTATGGCGGCGAAATCTGCAGCCTCCGGCGGTTTCTCTATACGCATATAAATCTGAGTGAGCGCGGAACGCAGAGGACCGGCTATATGTCGCCAGAGTCGGGACACATCTGAGGCCTCCACAGATCCATCAAGTACGGGCTCTAGATAAATGGATAGGCACTTCCTCGCCGTCAACTGGAGCTCCGGAACGTCGCGACAGGCTTTGTAAAAAACGCTCAGAAAGAGATTGAGGTAGTTGTTGTAGAATTCCTCCGTCACTGCTTCCTTGCAAATCTCCAGGCGCTTATTATCCTGACCAAACTGGTCCAGTAATTGACTTCGCACCTGGGCGAAATCAGATCCCAGGATCCGCTGCGTTTCTGCCTTGTTGTACTGTGCTAAGTGAAGACTAATGACCTCACTCAGGCCGGTCTTGTTGTAAAACTTTTCGAAGGGAAGTTGGGACAGGAGGATGACGCAAAGATTGAGGCTAGTAAGCTGCTGTAGCTGAAGTAGAACGGGCAGCACATTGGCATCCATGTCTCGCAAGCGTTCAGCATTATCAACGGCGATGAGGAAGGACTTTGAATCCGAGGCGCAATGCCAGCGACGCAGTTGCTCCACGAAATCCAGCATGTTGTCCGCCTTAAGGGAATCCCCTTGTTCCGGTGCCAGCGAATCAAGCAGGATTTCCAACATGATCTTCGTGGTGTAGCACTCGATGGCATTCAAATGTGCGGTCCGGACCTTCTGCCTCTTTGCGCATTCCTTGAGAAAAGCTCTGGTCAGAGCTGTTTTCCCGGTTCCACTGTGCCCAAATAGGTAAATAGCCGAGGGATAGGCCTCCCTGGAGTCTCCTATCAGCTCGCCCAGGGTGGCAATGGCCGCTTCCCGACAGGGAAACAGCGTCTCCAAGGAGGAGCAAATGGTTTCCATTGAAGATTGTTTTGTTTTTTGTACGTAGAAAGCAACTACTTGGCCAACCTTCCGTGGAGGTAATTGCTAAGTAAATGTGAACAAGGCCAGTTTATTAAAGAGCTTAACTTTTGATTCCTTGATTAAATTAAGGACCGATTTGTTATTAAAAATATGTTTACAAGCGCTGTTCAGTATGACCATAGAAAAGAGCGCCAATCTATCAGCTGTGGTATATATCTGGTATTATGGTTAATTTCCAAAGTACTGGTATTATTTCGATAAGCTTTCAGTGATTAAAACACATATCGATGTTTTCAAACCATCGATTTTTGTTCCAGCTCTAATTTCGGGTGATTAATTTTGTGCATTACTTTTCCAAAGAGTTTTTTCCACAACGCTCTGCTCCTCCTGCCCAGGGAAACCCAGAATCCATCCTAGCAACGCCAGCTTAATCGTGTAGACGGCCCAGAGTCCGCGATTAAAACGAGAGCGAAGCGCAGCCAGCGGAAACAACGCCCACTTGGTCCCAGCGAAGTGAAGTCCGAAATCCGGCGAACCAAACCGAAGCAGCTACGTGTGTGGTTGGACGAACACTCTGCATTCCGAGCGCATTTAGCCACCCACGATGGCCGAGACCTACACCTTTGGCACCTCGCTGGCCTCCATCACCTGCCACGCGTGGAACAAGGATCGTACCCGTAAGTGCCCACACATTACTCACCCGGAACCGTGACTCACCCACTGACCCACCCCGCAGAGATTGCCTTATCGCCCAACAACCATGAGATCCACATATACAGCCGGGAGGGCAGCGACTGGAAGCTGGCGGACGTGCTCAACCAGCATGATCTGCGCGTCATGGGCATCGACTGGGCTAAGAACACCAACCGGATCGTGAGCTGTGCCGCCGACCGGAACGCCTATGTTTGGACGCAGGGCGAGGATGGCAAGTGGAAGCCAACGTTGGTGCTTCTGCGCATCAACCGGGCGGCCACATGCGTCAAGTGGTCGCCGGCGGAGAACAAGTTCGCCGTAGGATCGGGCGCTCGACTGATCTCCGTGTGCTACTTCGAGTCGGAGAACGACTGGTGGGTGTCGAAGCACATCAAGAAGCCGATTCGTTCGACGGTCACTTCCCTGGACTGGCATCCGAACAACGTCCTGCTGTTGGCCGGCTCGACGGACTACAAGGTGCGGGTCTTCTCGGCCTTTATCAAGGACATTGAGGAGCCGCCCACGCCGACGCCGTGGGGCAACCGTAAGCCTCTTGGCCAGTTGATGGCCGAGTTCCGGAACTCGCAGACCTCTGGCGGCGGTTGGATCAACAGCGTTAGCTTCTCCAGCGACGGCAACAAGGTATGCTGGGTCGGCCACGACAGTTGTGTGAGTATCGCGGACGCCACGAATGGCAACACGGTGATCCGCTGCCGCACCGGCTATCTGCCCTTCCTGTCCTGCGAGTGGGTCTCGCCCACATCCGTCGTGGTGGCCGGCTACAGCTGCGTGCCACTGCTTTATAGCCTGACTGCCGATGGAAAGCTGGTGCTGAGCGGCAAGCTGGACAAGTCGCAGAAGAAGGAGTCGAGCGGCATTACCGCTATGAGGATCTTCCAGTCGATGGACCGCAACATGCGCACGGAGAACACGGACACGGTGGTCGATTCGATCCACCAAAACGCAATCACCAGCGTGCGGTTGTACGCCGGCGACAAGGCTAGCGCCACCAAGGTGTCCACCTCAGGCGTCGACGGGCAGCTGGTCATCTGGAACGTGGAGCAGGGCGGCATCAACGGAGGCATGCGGAACCTGCAGATCTAGTTCGGCCCGCAACGGTCTAGCGTTACGTGTTATTGTCTGTTAGCGAGTGTGTTGGCCTGGCCAGGAGCGCAGTATTTGCCAAAATGTTTTCCAAAATCGCTTTTCCCATTGTTCTGTACCGTGCGAAAGCCTTTTTACATAAATTAACCGAAGAGATTGTTCTTTTCCCCCCACTTCCATAATGGTTCCGAAAGTCTGTGTGTGTGTTTTAAAGTGTTTCACCTTTATAGCAAACTGAATAAAATGTTTTTTATTCGCAAAATCAAATGGAGGCCTATTTTAAATAATTAAGAGTCCTGGAATGAGGCTAACCTCGTTTAATTCTTTTGTGATGCTCGTAACCGTTATTATAATTTTTTGTTTTACTTGCTAGAAGCAAGTAATATTTTATTTCGCCCAACTAAGTTTATATTTAGGTTATCAAAAACTTATTTAATTTTAACGGAAATTAGTTTCAAAAATATTTCAATGTGACCGCCGCGCAGGCGCATAAAAATACCCAAGTTTCCGGCAGTCTTTCGGAGGAGTGAGTGGCCGCTAGCTGGACTTGTGCCGCTTGAAAGGATGTTTATTGCAGCTAAACTGGGATGCAGCTCCACCTGATTAGAAAGTACGCCAGCAAGGTCGGGCGGGA